CTGAAGATGTCTAATCTATGAAAGCTAAAAACAAAAGCATGTCACAACTGCAGTATTCTTGGAGAAAGTATGAATGTATTAGTTTTAAACTTAATGAGAAACAAAGAGTTCATAGCATGAAGAAATAGAGAAATGCTCTTCTATGGGACAGAGTAAAACATTTTATTCAAAACACTCTTCTTGACCATGCATTATATATGATACATGTGCACCCACGAACATGCCTTCATTAACATATTACTAAAGATTCCTACAGTGCATAACCCTTTTAAGATATACAATAACATTATAGAATGAAGAATGGGCAATTAAAACTAATGGGAATTACTAGAACATTGAGTTATTCCTCTTCCTTACTAGTAACTTTATTGCATTTAATCTAAATTACCATATTTACTTTACCCCTATTTGGTTCAATCCAATATATACAATATTCTTAAATTTTTGGATAGGACATTGCTAGATATTTAGCAGTTAGCACATTAATGAAGGCACATTGTAATCTGGTCACAGCTCAACTGAAGACATCCTTCCTTCCTTCCCATTCTACAGATAATATGGAGCTTGAGATTATCATGGTAGGAAACTGCAAGAAAGAAGGTAAAACCTGAAATATATTTATTTCCAAATACTCCTTCAAATTTCTTACCTACAAGTTTTGAAGTAAAATAATATCCAAATATCTTCTGCATGAGAAGATATCATGTACATTCCATATCTATATTTTACATTAATATCAGCTTTTACTGCAGCATTTGAAACTTCACATCATGGTTAGTATATCTGAGTCTGACAGATGGAATGTAATAAACATATATTTACTTCAGCTACAGTCCTTTTCACTTCCATGGGAACATGCTTCACTAAACTGAATGGAATTTATTTCCCAGAAAACATAGCTTTAAAATGGGTTAGGCACATTCATAAAAAAAATTATCAATAGTGATTAGTCTTGATGTGTAGAAGGAGACTCAATCTTCAGAAGCTTATGCTTTTGAATACCGATTAAAGGCAAGCACAGAGAGAAAGCATTTGTCTTTCTTCCCTGCTTTTTCATTTCCTGGAACACCTGGAAGCCATTAATGCAGACAAGCTTTGAGGTTAAATGATTTTTTGGTCTGATTGGATAGATGTTCTAATGAAATGTAACATCGTTAGATATTCTACTGCAACATTTTAAAGCATTTTATAGGCAATATGTGCTGGTGGTCTTGATAGGCAACATGTACTCATAGTTGGCATTCAACAACGTTTGAGATATGGCTTTCTTATACACAGACAATATTTGATATAGTCCCTGACAGTTCCATCCCATTTATATACGATTTACTGTTGTTGATTAATTTAAAACCATTTCCTTGCTAGTGATTTTTAGCATCTTCTAGATTTGTTCAGCTATTGTTGTGCCAATAAAACAGTAATGAGGACAGACCTTAAAGTGCTAGATGATGCTAGAAAATACCATAAATTGCTAGGAAGGAAGAGGGGTTAGTGGTATCTTGATTCTCTATATTGTATCAAAGAAATATGTAGCTAATATCCATATGATAAAATAAGTCCAATTATCTGCAGAATAAAGGATGCAGTAGGAAAAACATTCTTCTAGGACAGAATGTTTCTCTCCTAGAAAGATTTATTTTTGATTTAATGACAAAAAGTATAGATTTCCCCCCATAATTACAAAATTCTATGGTCAGTCACCACCACCATTTTATGATATGTTCTGTGGGAAGGGAAATAGATATTTTTTTTGCTTAGTGGATTCTCTCTCCCCATAGGGTGCTTTATTTGTGGTTTTGTTCATAATCCTTTGCTAAAATGAGTTAGAAAGACTAGATTTCTTTCTCTTTTTTTAACTTCAGGAAAACACTTACCTAGTCATTGACATCTTCATGAGGTGTGCCAGTAAGAGCCAAAAGAGTGCTATTCATGTTGAACTGCGTATAAAAATATGTAGAAATAATTAATATTATTGCATTTTTTAATTATTTCATATATTCATGATTTTGTTAAGACTTCAAAATCAAAATATTCAAAACAATTTTTTCCCTAACATAATTTTTTCCTTATTTTTTTCTAACAATTTTTTTTGGGAGAAAATGTATCTCAATCAAATTTATATGGGAAAGATATTTAAAAGGTTTATGGAAAAAAGTACATTTTGTTACCTTATTTAGTTATTTATTTCAAAAATGTTGCCCTTTTTCTCTAAAAAAAAAAAAAGTCCTTACAATCAACTTACAAAGTACCATAAATTAGATTTTTTTTTTTAAAAAAAAAGGAAACGATGTTCTCAAACCATTTTATAAACCCCAGTTTATATCTGATAGTTACAATAATAAATGTATCACAAAATGCCCGCATTTAGGTTAGTAACCATTGGAAACTTCAGTTTTTAATACTGGCTGTTGTGTTCGTTGTATTCCCCCCCTTAATCCCCTATGCATATCCTGATCACCCATTAAGGGTGATTGCCCTTCACCATTGATCGCCCATTAAGGGTGATTGCCCTTCTCCATCTGCATACAGTTTCATGCCCGTTGCTGGTTGGCTAACTAGCAACAGGGTCTTGCCAGCCAATGGAATTGTGTGATTACAAGCCAGGGGAATCCCATA